GGGCTGCGGCACCGGACCTCACGGATCAGAGCGGAGCCGGGGACTCCTGGCTCCCGGCTCCAGGCTCTGGCCCTGGCGCCACGCTTCGCTCCCACGGACAACCAAGTTGACTTTTCTCGTTTGGCACCGGAGCGATTTTTTTTTTAAACGAAAACACTGAAATCCTCCGAATGAAATAAAACGAAAACACACTGCTAAAGAATAGCCGCAACAGTTCTGAGTCCCAGCGCGGAGGAGGCCCCGCGGCTTGGCCCTGGCGGTCTCCTCCGCCCCGCGCTCTCGCTCTTCTGTGTCCGGGTCAGTCTCCGAGCTCGGGAGAAATTCAACCTCTCCCAGACTCTGCTCCGATCCCGAAGCCCCTAGTGGGACCTGCGCCCCGCTAGCCCCAGACCGGTCGCTCGGTTCCCAGCAGTGAGTCCCGGGTCAGCCGAGCCCTCCGCCTCACCCGGCTGGGAGCCCTTTCCCCACCGCGGAGATCCGAGTCCCGGACGCATATGCCGCCGCAGGCCTTAAAGCCAGAAGAAAGCAACAGCCTTAGCCCCTCCACCCTTCGACTCAGCCACCGAGAATCCAGGCCTCGGGTTCACCCTCTTCCCCCGAACGGCACGGCTAGGATGTCTGATCAGGCTCTGTAACCCAGTTCCCAATACAAACACCCTCCAAGTTTATTTCTGGGAGCTTCCGTCCCAAGTGGGTATTTCCCCTGAACGAATTTCGGGGAGATTCAGGAGAAGCGAGAATATTTCTAAAGGGCCTAGACTTCTCTCCTGGGCATCGGCTTTCATCTCAGATCAGGGAGAAAGAGGGTCCCCAGATCTGAGCACAGGGCCTAAGGGAGGCCGTTTAAGAGAGGGTCTGACAGGCAGAAATGGGATCTCCTGGGAGCAACAGCCACAGGTGGGGTCTTCCGGGCAGTGATGAGAGGGCAGAGCAGCCGACCACAGGGGAAACAGCCAGGCGGCAGCGGTGTGCGCAGCGAGGAGGGATAAATAAAGGAGGAGAGGGAACCTCGGACCTAGAACAACTGGTTCCAATGGGATCTCCTCCCTTACCTCCCTCCCAGGCGGATGTTCCCCCCCTTCAAGGTGCGAGTCAGTGGCCTGGACAAGAAGGCCAAGTACATCCTGCTGATGGACATTGTGGCCGCTGACGATTGCCGCTATAAGTTCCACAACTCGCGCTGGATGGTGGCAGGCAAGGCCGACCCTGAGATGCCCAAACGCATGTACATCCACCCAGACAGCCCAGCCACTGGGGAGCAGTGGATGGCCAAGCCTGTGGCCTTCCACAAGCTGAAGCTGACCAACAACATCTCTGACAAGCACGGCTTCGTGAGTGTAGGGGCAGGGTGGGGACAGGGCGGGAGATTGTTGACCCAGCACTGCAGTTGAGCAGGAGAGCAGGGCGACAGGATCTCCCAGGAGGAAGCGCTGGGCAAACCCCCAGAGTGCCCTGCCCGGCTCACTGCCCTGTGGCCTACATGGGCTGAGCCTGGGCCCCAGGGCTCTCCTCTGCAAGCCTGGGAAATTGTGGGGTCGGTGGCTGGCAGCTCACAATCTCAGTTCGTCAGGCCGTGGAGGGCCCCTCCTAAGGTCAAGAGGGAGGCAAGTGCTGCCCCGACTGGGTCTGCAATGCTGGGCCACGGAAGTCACCCTGCTCTTGGCCTGTAGGTGCCCTTCTTGGAAGAACTGCCCATGACCTCAACTTGTCCATCACCCTTCCGCCAAGACCCGCGTCCCTGGCCCTCCCCCAAGACTAGGGGATTTAAAAGTTAAACCACCCTCCCCACCCACCCCCCAGCCTCCCTAAGACCTTTCCCCCCTCCCATAGGCAGATGCCCAACTAGGAGGAGAGGGTTTGGGGGTTCTCTCCATTTATGCCTGAGCAAGGCCCCAGCGAACGGGGGTGGGGGGGTGTTTCATAGGGCAAAAGGAACTGCCCATTCTTGAGGTAGGGCAGTTGGTGAGCGCCAGAAGGTTGGACTCTCATCTCTGTGGGGTTAGGGGCTTAGCAGTGCCAGAAAGCAAGAGAGTATTAAGAGTGGAATTGTAGGGTTTGGGTTTTTTTTTATTTTTTTATTTTTTTTGCGGGGGGGGGATTGTTGTTTGGTTGGTTTTGGTTTTTGTTTGTTGTAGTTTTTGTTTTGTTTTTGCTATGTCTTATTTCTGTTTCCCACCGGGAAAATTTTTTTAATGGCAAGAGAAAGAGAAGCTGTGAAAAAGAAAAGTGAGAGGAAAGGTAGAAGAAAAAGAATTAAGGGTGAGAAAAGAGCAGACAGGAGAAAATGGGGAAGGGGAAGAACCGAGAGAGAGAGAGAGAGAGAGAGAGAGAGAGAGAGAGAGAGAGAAGGAAATGGAGAGGGAAAGGTCAGGTACCCAAAGAATAGAAAAGCTCAGGCGGGGGCCGGCGACTACCGGCTGACCCCCGCCCTCCCCGCAGACCATCCTGAACTCCATGCACAAGTACCAGCCGCGCTTCCACATAGTGCGAGCCAACGACATCCTGAAGCTGCCGTACAGCACCTTCCGTACCTACGTGTTCCCAGAGACCGACTTCATCGCCGTCACTGCCTACCAGAATGACAAGGTGCGCGCGGCGGGCGGTGGGCTCAGCCCTTGCACTGACGCCCCTCAACACATGCAGGCCCAACCGTCTGTTCGTCGCCCCCGAAGCCCCCTGCACGGGATCCGTGCGCTTGCGGCCCGCCCCTGAGTACGGAGCCTCACATCCATACGCGCAGCACCCACGGAAGTCCTCAAGGCGCCCTCTCAAGCCCACCGCGCGCACACACAGGCTCCCCTGGGGCGAGCGAACAGCTGGGCCCTCGTTCGGGTGGAGATGTTTACTTAGCAATTAGCTGAGACTCCCGGCCCGCGCTGACATTTTTACATTCTATTCGTTTATTTCTTGGCTCAAGAATGAGAATGTAAATGAAAAGAGGGCGCCCGAAGCAATCTGCCCAAGCTCTACCGATGCTCGGAACCCAGGGCCCAGTTTTCACTCTCTCGGGGAAGCCAGAGGGTGGGACAGGTGACATAGCCCCCCAGAGCACCCCTGGCTACTGCTCTAGCTCAGTCCAGGCCCCAGACCCCTTGGGAGGCGCTTAGAGAATTTCCTTCCAATTTTCTGCTTGCGGCTTCTCCACCCTTGTTCTAGTGGGGCAGAGCATCACCCCTCTAGGCCTGTGCCTTTGTGTGCCACTGTCGAGTGAAAGAGAGGGAATGAGTGTCCGTGCCGGTCGTTGTGGCTTTGTGAACCAAGGTGTACGCCGGGCTGTGCGTGCTCCATTTGGGGCGTGTTGGATACCTGTGGAGGCGTGTGAATTCGTTTGGTTCTGTGGGCGCTTGTTCTGTCTGTGCATACTTGCGTGTGCGCGGGCCCGTGAGTGTGATTTGGCTTGGTGTGTACCTGCAGCCTTGCGTGTGAGCTGCAGTCTCTGTGCACGCCTGCTCGGGTGCGGAGTCGTTTAACTCGCGCAAGCCCGAGGGCGGGTGTGCCTGCTTGGGCCGATTCCGACACCGCTGCACAGCTTTAGGCCTATGTGGGCCTGTCTAGGGATAATTCCTCGAATGAAGTTTTTGGAGGACAGACCCCGTCGCTTTCCGCGAGGCCCTCCCACCGGTCTCAGCTCGGGGCGTCCCATCCCAGGCGGGTGGGTGCCAAGTGGACGCTCCCCGGGTCTTCCCTCTGCGGCCAGCAGTCGCTGACCTCGGGGTGCCCCCGACCAGGCTGGAAGAGCCACGGCCTGACTTAGCGCCGCCCCCTCGGTCCCCGCAGATCACGCAGCTGAAGATCGACAACAACCCGTTTGCCAAGGGCTTCCGGGACACCGGGAACGGCCGGCGGGAGAAAAGGTGAGGGGCGAGGACA